AATACTTTCTTCTCTGAAATTTCTGATTTGTTTCTGGTGCTTCAAGACATGATGAAGTCTCCCAAGGCTTCCACAAGTAAAATGGGCTCTACTATGAAATCTAAACTGGATAAATATTGGGGGGACCCAGAGAAAATGAACTATCTAATATTTTTGCAAATGTGCTTGACCCAAGGGACAAGCTTGAATACATGCCTTTTCAACTGAATGCCCTTTATACTCAACCAAAGGGTGTGAAGATCTTTGAAAAAATCAAGCTTGCTTTGCATGAGTTATTAAATGATTATGTGTCCAACTACTCTGATTCTGGTAATGTGCTTATTAAGCTCTATAGTCCACATAGAAGATTGAAGTACATAGACTAAGAAGAATAAATAAAAAAGGGGAAAAGTTCACAAAGGTGGATGACTAAAGAATAATGTATCACTTACTTCTATGTAACTATATTTTTTACTTATTATAACTGAAAAAATGTTACTCATCCGTCCCAAAAAAATCTCATCACTTTGATTCTTTAACTTGGAACCCTAACAGGAAGCTCCAAAGCTCCCCTACAATTGTCACAGCTCCAAATAGCCCTTGAGGATAAGGATGGACCCAACTGGTTCGGCCCGGCCCGCTACTATGTGGGTCCGGACCGGCCCGCTACTATGCGGGTCCGAACCGGCCCGGTTGGTGCTAACTAGGCCCGAGCTTTTCCCCGGTTGGGGCGGGTTGGGCGGGCCAGGCTCGAGCCATGTTTTTCTTGAACTGGCCCGGGCTTTTTTTTTCAATTTTTTTTTTGTTTTTCTTGGTTAGGGCTAAGTGTTTTGGGGGAGTTTGGAGGGTGGGGGCTGAAGGTAGGGATGGATTCGGTTCGGGCCACCCGGCCCGTGACCCGGACCGGCCCGGTACTGTGCGTGCCCGGGACCGGCCCGGTCGGGCGGTCCGGGACCGGGTATGGGCCCGAACCGGTGGGAAGGGGCGGGGCGGGCTCGGTTCAGCATTATTGTGACCCGGCCCGGCCGGGTCGGGCCCGGGCCCGGGTCCGGTTCAATTTAAAAAAAAATTGGTTTGGGCTCCTACTAGCCGTTGGGGGTGGGGCTGGGGACAACCCAAACGGCTATATAGCCGTTGGGTGGGGTAAAGGGGGGGTCCGGGGGGGTTGGGTGGTGGGGGTGTGGTGGGGGGGGTGGGGGTAAAAAAACCTATAAATACTCCTAATCTTAAACATTTTTTCATCTCTCTTCTCCAATTCTTCCTAAATCCTATTCTTAACTCTCTACTCTCTAATTCTCTTATTCTCCATTCTCCAATATATTATATTTATTATTTATAGTTTATATTAATTATCTACTTATATAAACTATAAATAGATATAAATAGTATTATATTACTTATATTTGTTATCTAATTATATATTACTTATATATTTATTATATCTATTAATATAGTTGGAATTATATCTAATTAATTTGAAGTCATTCTATTACTCCCATCCGAAAGACCGAAAGTCCGAAAGAGGTACGAAATTATTCTATTATTTACACTTGTTTAATTACTAGTTAATTAGTATAGTTGGAATTACAATTTTTTATTAATATAGTTGGAATTACAATTTTTTATTAATGGCTACATTTGACTCTAGTTTAAAAAATATGTTGTACACAAAACTAGTTAATTCACTACTTAATTTGCTATAACTCGAATTAATAGTTAGATAAATAGTTAATTAGTTTTTTTACAATTTTTTATTAATGGCTACATTTGACTCTAGTTTAAAAAATATGTTGTACACAAAACTAGTTAATTCACTACTTAATTTGCTATAACTAGAATTAATAGTTAGATAAATAGTTAATTAGGTTTTTTACAATTTTTTATTAATGGCTATATTTGACTCTAGTTTAAAAAATATGTTGTACACAAAACTAGTTAATTCACTACTTAATTTGCTATAACTCGAATTAATAGTTAGATAAATAGTTAATTAGTTTTTTACAATTTTTTATTAATTGCTACATTTGACTCTAGTTTAAAAAATATGTGGTACACAAAACTAGTTAATTCACTACTTAATTTGCTATAACTCGAATTAATAGTTAGATAAATAGTTAATTAGTTTTTTACAATTTTTTATGAATGACTACATTTGACTCTAGTTTAAAAAATATGTTGTACACAAAATTAGTTAATTCACTACTTAATTTGCTATAACTCGAATTAATAGTTAGATAAATAGTTAATTAGTTTTTTACAATTTTTTATTAATGACTACATTTGACTCTAGTTTAAAAAATATGTTGTACACAAAACTAGTTAATACACTACTTAATTTGCTATAACTCGAATTAATAGTTAGATAAATAGTTAATTAGTTTTTTACAATTTTTTATTAATCGCTACATTTTTTAGATGGATCGTCCTAGATATTCGGTTGATATGGGTAACCTCGAGCGCAACCGAACGAAAGAGCTTGCGAGGAAGAGATCCCGCAAAGGTAAATCACATATCGGCTCTTCATCTCAAAGTCAAAATGATTTTGATACGGGTTACGTAAGGAGGGATGGGGATGCGATGACCGACGAACAACTAGAACAAGAATTGCACCGACATAATTCCCGCTTTTTTCAAGACCAACCGAGGACCATTGACGAAGAAGAGCTCGAGGATGAGGACGACGATGTGGAGGAAGCAATTCCGGAGAGCCACGACGAGGAGGAGGAGGAGGGTGGCGGCAGCCATGACGCCGAATTAATGGCTAACTTACTTGGCTAATAATTTTACTAAGTGGAAGGACCCGAACACCGGGAATTGGACCGCAACTTGCAATTGGTGCAAGAAAAACTATAGCTTGGGGATTTCCGGCGGATACAGATCCGCCACAAGACACCTTAAGTCCAAACACCCGGTGGAGTATGCAAAATTAGGCGGCGGAACGGGGAAGCAAACGCAAATATCGAGGTTTGCAAATAACCAACAAGCTTTTGGTAATATCTCATACAATGATGCACAAAATTTGACAGGTATGGCTAACTTACTTGTTGAAGAAAATTTGCCTTATTTGTTTTCTGAAAGTCTTGCTTTTCGTGATTATGCACAAACTTGTTTAAATCCGCAATATAGAGGTTATAGTCGCAAAACGGTTAAGAAAGAAATTTCAAGGCTTTATGGTGCGGAAAAGGTAAAGTTACAAAATTATTTTGCAAACTTTGATGGACGTGTTACTGTATGTTCTGACATATGGGAGGATACTTATCATAATTTACATTATTTGGGTCTGACTGTACATTATATTGATAATGATTGGCATATGCATAAACGTGTTCTTGCTTTCCGAGAATTTAATGATCGTCACACTGCTGAACATATTTATATTTTGATTGAATGTATTTTAATTGAGTATAATTTAATTGATAAGGTGTTTGCTATTGGTTTTGATAATGCTACTAATAATACTGCTGCTATTCCTAGATTGCGTGAATTGTGCGGTTCTACTTCTTTGATGGGTAGATTTTTTCATCAACGATGTACATGTCATGTTCTAAATTTATGTGTGCAAGATGGTCTAAAAGCGTTGGGAGCATCGTTGGAGGTAGTCAAGGGGGGGATTAGACGTATTTGGGATAATGGACACCTCAGCCTGAAGGGGGGGAGGTCAGGGTTAATTAGAAAGCAAAAAAAAATATAGAACCGGGCCCGACCTAGACCGACCCCGTACCGGACCCAGTTTATACTGAGGCCGTTCCAGTTCTCCCTTTCCCAAAAAAAGCCCGCCCGACTCGGGCCCAAGCCCAGGTCCACCCCTACTTGAGGATAGGTTCCGATCTCTCCCCCGTGCACAGTACTATTTTATAGTTTATACGGAGTACTTTTTGTGAGTTGCCTATTTGGATACAAAAATAGGTACACATTGGAAATTTTATATGCATTCAAAATTTACATTTAATGTAAATATAACATAAAATCAACCAAAATGAAGGAATGAATGGTCAATAGTAGGAATGGACTCGGGCCAGGTTAACCGGCCCATAACTGGCCCGACCCAGTACTATTACGGCCTGGCCCGGCCCGGTACCCGGATCTGTGCCCCGTTCGGGGCACCCGACCTGCTACTTTTTAGGGGCGGTTCCCGAGCCTCCCAAATCGTGAACCGGCCCAGCCCCAGTTCAAGCCATTTTTTTTTGTTTTTCAAAATTTGAGAAAAGGTAAATGGTTTGAGTTGGGTGATTTGGACAGGTTTGGAGTGTGGGGGGGGGAAGTAATTAGAAAAAAAAAACAGGAAACCGGGCTGACCCGGCCTGGAACCTGTAGATACCCGAGCCGTTTCCGAGCCTCAAGGTTCCCAAAAAAAGCCTGGTCAGAACCGGCCCGAGGAGCGGGCTAGTCCGCACCAAGTCCATGCCTAACCAATAGTAAGGACTAGGGATGGACTCAGGCCGGGTGGCCCGACCCGGAACCGGCCCGGGACCGGCACTGTTCCGGCCCGGCCCGACCCGGTGGCCCGGTCAGTGACCGGTCCGGGTAGGCCCAGCCCGTGGGTTTTCCGGTCCGGGCTCGGGTCACCCAAAACAAGGCCCGACCCGGCCGGGCCCGGTTCGGGCCAAATTTTTTTTTTTTGTTTTTTCAATTTTTTTAACTTTTCGGGTTGGGCTGGGTATTTTGGGCCATTTGGGGTGGTTTGGGGGATTGGGGGTGGGAGGGGGGTTAATTAGGAAGAGGAAAACAAAAAAAATATATATATAATGGGTTTGGCCCGACCCGGCCCGGACCCGGACCGGACCCGGTGGTTACCCGGGCCGGTCCCGGGTCCACCATTTCTGACCCGCCGGCCCGCCCGGGCCTAGGCCCGACCCGGACCCGGCCCGGACCCGAGTCCAACCCTAGTAAGGACTGGATGGAACGGGAAAAACATATTGGACCAACGACGGGCTGTAGAGGCTGATTGTTGAACGAATATGCCCACACGGCGGCCACACTACAGCCCACCTGCCTCACCATCTAAGCTATGGGCCTCAATCTACTTCTTAATGCATTTTAATGGAACACACAAAAGAAGCAAATTTAAAGCACCCCAAAGTGCACATGTAGCCAACCCTACATTAAAAAACGTGAAACCGAAGCAATAAGAGACTGAAAAATGCCGAAGCAATAAGAGACTGAAAAATCCCTACACAAATGGCAATTCACATGTGGCTGGTACAGCGTTCTTGACGTTGAACTATGGGGTAGTAATAATTTCACGAAGCACTCATACTTTTAGTGTTCTTAGTGCCGACTCAACGAGTTTAACTTTTTTGGTGTTTTCACTGTTGGCGAGGGAGAGCTTTTCAAGTGAGGCTTTCAGCTGTGACATTTGATTATCTAAGACGTGACGACTTTTCATCCAGCTTGATGTTTCTCTCTTCTCGTTGACTTGGTTTTGCTCAATTGAATGCTTGTACCGTATCAACCTCGCATTTAGCGTTTCAATGGACGAGCGCAACACATCCAACTCAATGCCCTGCATTTTCTCTGTATTGACATTTTATTAGAAAAGTTGAGTATACCATATCTTTACTGAATTGCAGCTATAGTGAGTAGAACTCAGAGAAGGAAGCAAAGTAAAGTAGAACTCAGATAAGAAAGCAAAGTAAATATTACTTCATCCTAAAGCTATGTTTGACCAAGGTGAAACTTTTTAAATCTGATACAGTACAACTTTTATAAGCTGTACTTGCTAGTTTTAACTAAATTTATCAAAACTTTAACTTGCTTGTTGCTCTTCCTTCATTAGGATGGATAGGTTGGTGGGTGGATGTTGATCGATCAATGGATATTTAAAGGAAGAAAAGTAGGGGTAATGAATAGTGTAGAAGAAATAGGAGAGAAGGTAAAAAACTTTGAAAGATACGATGAAAAGTAGAAAGAATAAAAAAGATTTGAGTATCTTTAAAGGAAAAACTTACCACAAAAGGAAAGTTTAAAAAAAAATTAAAATGCATCTAAAAAATGAATGTGTAGCCAACAAAAGAATACGGAGGAAGTAATTAAGTAAAGGGAAGTCGCACTTTTGGTCACTCAATTAGTCACCATATTGAAAATGTCAAACCTGTGTTTCTGAGATTGTAAATGTCACTCCCAAATTGACAGATGTTGTAAAGGTCATCTCTGGTATGTTTAATTTGACATTAATTATAAACGGCGTGGATGACATTTACAACACATCTATCAATTCGGGCGTGTCATTTACAATCTCAAAAACACGAGTTTGACATTTTAATATGGTGATTAATTGAGGGAGCAAAAGTGCGATTTTCCCTTAAATAAAAATATCGGTTAATTTTGTTGAAACTTAACTTTTGATTAGAATATATGTTTTTCTAATAAAATTATTTTCCATTTTTCTTTTCTAATGTAAATTGACTAAATCCATCAATCAAATTGACTTGCATTATTAAAATTTATTTGTTGGTCTAACAAAATTTTTCATAACTAGATTATGATTTTTTTTCATGTCCAAATACATTAAATACATAGTTTTTTATTTATTAAAAGTTACGTTTACTTTAATTTTTTTTTTATGAAAAATAAACTTGTTTTAGGACCCATGGAGTAATAATCAAGAAACCATGGCAAAGATAATCGGCAATTATTAAATCTAGTTACCAATTTCTGACTTGAACACTTGCTCAGCTCTTGATAGTGATCGCTTGTGTGCTACTGGCAAAGATCTCAGCCTCTGCAATTTTTCTACTATGGCAGCATGACGCTGAACTGCATGCTCAAAACGGTTCTCTAATATTTCCTGATTCTTTTCAACTTTCACAAGCTTCTGTTGTGATTTTTGATATCGAGAATGCTGCTCATCAATTATCTTCTTCAAGTGAGGTGCATGATGCTGGAGTTCAAAGTGCACCTACAACAAGGGATAGTATTATGAGTAATCCAAAGTTTGGGTTATTTATAAAATAAAGATCGTATTTCATGTTCACCCATGCAAAGGTTATATTATTTGATTAATTTTCTTTTAAGAACACAAGTATATATAGACATACAAAATTTGTGTGTGTGTTGGACATCTGATCATCATCATTACCCAGTGCTTCAAAGGCTCTCACCTACGGTGGGGTAATGGGGGTCGGATGTACGCAGTCTTAGTCCACAGAGAAACTGTTTCGGATGACCCATAGTGAAAATAGCGGTGTGTTGACATCTAATGATCAAGAATTAACATTAAGGACCTTGTCCCCAAAATCATCAAATGCAAGCAAAAGCTCTTTTAATTGCTTTAGTTGGTACTTGGTAGATGATAAGTCCATATTTCAACCACGCATGTTATGCATGCGTGTTGGGTTTGATTTTAACCAATTTTCCTAGCTTAAATGTGTTACAAAACATCTAATTACTCAAGTCATAGTTGTCATAATAACAACAAGATTTTAAGAACGAATTTTCGATTGCCTTTTAGCCTTGAATTATCAAGATTTTGAGATATAGGTAAGTACTTTCTTTTTAATTAATGACAATTAATTCTTTTCATTATGAATTTTAAGTAGTTTTAGTTAGGTACTTGGGATTGATGAGAGGGTAGTAATCATGAGCTAGGGTTCCGTTCTTGAGTGTTTAATTGAATGATTTTTATTTAGGGCTGGCAACATCACCCGCACCCGTGGATACATGATCAACTCGAACCGGAAATATGGACAAAAACCCGAAAAAGTATGGATGAAAAACAGATGACGGGTGGATCGAGTGTGGATGAACACTCATCCAACCCATCACCCGATCCGTCACCCGCTCCATCCACCCACCCGTTAAACCGCATATAAATGTATATATAATAATTAATATTAATATATTAATATATATGTATTTATTGATGGAAAAGACATATCTATGAATTGGTGAAATAAAGATGATTGAGAGTTTCAAGAAATGGCAGTTGAACTACAAATATAGTTTTGTGTCGATGCAGAAATGTAGAATTTAAAAGCTTGAAGAAGTTTGTGTCTATTTTGTTTAACAATCGGTTCTTTCTTTATTGGCAGTGAATTAGTGATTGAAATATACTTAATTGTTCAAGTTTTTGTTGTTATTATTCAATGAATTCTTAATTTTTGGTTTTTAATTATCATGATTTATCTTTATAATAATTTTTTTATTTTGTGTTTCAAGTTAAACCATATATATTCACCCGTTACTCACCCGATCCACCCGATAACCCGTTCATGATGGATGCGTTGGATGTGGATGTAATTTTTAATGGATGATGGGCGGGTGAGTGGATTATGAAAATTAACGGGTGGTTGTGGATGAGCCTTCACCCGGTATAAATCCGACCCGCTGCCACCCCTATTTTTATTTAATTTGTGTTTGAATAATTTAATTGTTATCGTTTATAACTTGGAACGGTCACTACGGGATTATAATTGCACATAGAATAACTTCAAGGAGATCTAAATTATTCCAAGACACTTTCACACACACCTAATCGTTCACTATGAGGTTAATATTTAATAGCGATTAAGGAGCCGTACATTCGCTCGTTTTGACAATAGTTTAGAAACTTGTCACATGATAGATCGGTCTGGTTCTCTAAATTATTGTACTCTACGCCGCGAGAGCAGTAAGAAATTAGTATTGATCTGCGTTGCTCAATTAAATAATTTTCATGTGATTAAGTCTGATCAGCCCTGAATCTGGTTGCCCCGGGAATCACGAAATCCTAAATTGCAATAACATGAATAAGACCACTTTATGTAGTTAACCCTAATGATACCCTAGTTATAGATATAAATATAGTTGTAATATTTCAGAACATAAATAAGAATGTGAGTCATATATTTCACATGGTATCAAAGTCATATATTACGTAGTTTTCAGTTTGTTTCTTTAAATTTCAGGCGTAAAGTTTCCCGCTGAAATTTTCCGGTGGGTAACATTTTCTAGCAACTATTTCTTCTGATGATATCTGATAGTGTGTATTCAAAATCAGTCCTATCGCCCACCTCGGAACATTGTCACGACCCACCAGCAGGAATATTGTCACTAGGGGTGGTTCGGTATGGTATACCGAAAAGTTTTTCTCATATCTTTGCCATACCAAACTTTCGATATACAAAATTTATATACCGTTACCTTACTGAAGTTTCGGTATACCGAATTTTCGATTCGGTCACGATATGGTATTGATAAATTACCATACATGTCTTTCAATAAAACAAATTATCGTAGACTAACAAAATATACAAAATCGGTGTTACTAGCGACATAATTAATCCATTATTAAAATGTTATAAAATACAAATAATAATCTACTGATGTCACATTCAATATTGAACAATAATTATTATTAGTATATTTAAGCAGTTCAACATGTCACGTATTAAGGGAGTGTTTGGATTTGATTCTTAAAACTGCTTCTGCTCCTTCAGGGAGCAGAAGCAGAAGTTGGAGTGTTTGGGTGAAAGTGCAAAAGTGATTCTGGTGCTCTAATTTACTCCTAGAATCAGTTTTTTAGAAGCATGGGTGACCAGCTTCTGAAAACTGATTCTGATTTAAAAAAGAAGCAGAAGCAAAATCAATTCCAAACACCGCTTAAGAAGTAACACATTCCTCCTAAAATAACATAAACATAGATATAATTAAATCAATAGTGATCTCTTATAATTAAATCAATAGTGATCTCTTAAATCATACAAACCTAATATGATGTTGTATATTTAGTCATTTTTATAATTTTAAAAAAATATTTGAATAGGAATTTTGGTATAGCGGTATACCGGTATACCTTTTATATTCAAAGCATATACCGATACCATACCGAAGTAATTCGATACGGTACTATACCATACCGAAAATGTCGGTATACCTAAATCTTCGGTAAATCCGGTATTTTAAGGTATGGTAAATGCGGTATTTCATCACGACTTGTACCAAAAGAGCGGTCATCTTCCGGCAACCCTCCCCAAAAAATTGGGAGTTGTTCCCACACCGGATAACCCACGCGCCGCCACGCGCTACCACTGGACGGGACTGCTAGAAATTCCAAACTTGATATTCTGTCCTTGACTGTCATGCCCATTTTCATTACTAAACCAGTCAATATTGGGCCATCTAAATATTCAATATTACGAATTTGAAGATTACCAAAAATTCAAGAAACTAAATATTTCTCAAGGCGTATCTAGAGCCTGTGTTTCAAGCCGCTCTAATCTTTGGATCCTTGATCCAGGTGCTTCTTATCATGTTTCTGAAATTCCCATCTTTTATCTAAACCTTCACATTTACCACATATCACCTTTGCTAATGGGCATCAAACTCCCGCTATGGGAATACGTAAGGCTCTTCCAGAATCATCCTTACCTTTAGAAAATGTCTTATATGTTCCAAATAGTCCTTTGAATCTTGTATCCATTAGCAAGATTACTCGCTCTCTCTATTGTTCAATAACTTTTTCATCTAATTATGTGGTTGTGCAGGACCATGGTAATGGGAAAGTGATTGTGTCTGGCATGAATCTCATCTATTGCTTATGTGTCGGCTGAGTATCTATTGCTTATGTGTCGGCTGAATCTCATCTATTGCTTATGTGTCGGCTGAGTCACCGATTACCATACATTTGCAATGGAGCCAAAGAATCACTATTTTTTGGCTTGAAAATATGATGGAATAAAGCAAAATGGAACACTAAATTGTCTGCACTTCTTTGTTATGAAGCCGCAGTCAGTCCATGCAATTTTGGACGCAATTTTCACTATGCGTCATCCGGAAACAGTATCCCTGTGTTTTAGTACAAGAGTAAGACTGCGTACATCCGACCCCCTCTCTTACCCCACCGTAGGTGGGAGCTTTTGAGGCACTGGGGTAATGATGATGATGAATCGCTTAGGTCATTCAAGCCTCTCAAAACTCCAAAAAATTATTCCAGGATTATCTCGTCTTCCCTCCTTAAATTGTGAGTCGTGTCATCTCGTCAAACAACCCCGTCAGTCTAGGCCGATCCACATGCCCCAACATCAAACCATATTTTACACCATCACTACTCAAACAAATGTTAACTCCGAAGTTCCATCAGAAGCCCAATCATATAATCCTTCCATCTCTCCTTGTCATTTACACGCCTATCATCGCCGCCCTCACCCACCACTAGTATAAATTACTCATACTATCACTATCAATGAGGCTATTGATTCCCCTACCATGAGTCTCACTTCCATGCACTCAGCTACCCCAGAACCACATGTCACTCTTGATGATATGCTCATTGCCCTCTGAAAAGGTATATGTTCTACTTTAAATCCTCATCCCATATATAATTATCTCAGCTATCATCATCATCTTTCCAACCCTTACTATGCATTTATTTCAAAACTCTCTTATGTGTATATTCCTAAAACCACTCGTGAAGCACCATCACATCCAGAGTGGCGTTGCGCCATGTTGAATGAGATGAAGGCTCTACATTCTAATGGGACATGGGAATTAGTCCCCCTGCCTCCTGGAAAATCGGTGGTCGGTTGTAGATGGATTTATACTATATTAAAGTTGGACCTGATCGAAAAGTTGATCGCCTTAAAGCACGTCTGGTAGCAAAGGGGTATACTCAGATTTATGAGTTAGATTATACTGACGCATATTCTCCTACGGCCAAAATTGCTTTGTTCTCTTACTTTTGTCTATGACGGCTATGAGTCACTGGCCATTGCATCAATTGGATATAAAAATGCTTTTTTACATAGTGCTCTCGAGAAGGACGTTTATTAAAGCAACCGCCAGGTTTTGTAGCTCACAGGGAGTCTGGTCTTGTGTGCAAACTACGTCGTTCCTTATATGGTCTAAGGCAATCTTCGCAAGCGTGTTAAACACACAATTATAGTAAACTAGATCAAATTTAATGATGTACACTAAGGAATT